ACATGTAGTGTTCTGTTTGCATTGTGGCATCTCTTTTTTTTCATCAGTCTGCAACGAGATCCAAATTCTTACTGTCTGGTCCTAAAACCTTAATGTGCTTTGCAGCATGGTGATGTAAAGGTTTAAACTAAAAAAAAAAAAAAAATTATTTACTCCTCCACACTTTTACTTCTGTTTTTCAGGGTGTGTTCTTGTCCCTCTGGTGAGCAATATATATCCTACTTAATATGAAACTACATGGAAAGCAAATATGAGAAGCAAGCCTGTGATTCATTTTAATTTAAGTAGTAAAACAGGAAGCTTTCTGAATTAAAATGCTGAGTTGAACCCTGCATTTCTGCATTTCTTTACCCAGTATAAAATGCGTTAGTTGTGTTCAGAGGAATTCTTCATTTTCCATTTTAGTCAGGAGAATAAAATGTACTACAGTAGCAATCCATAGCAAATGAGTTTAAAAGCAGTTTCACAACAGAGGAGTGTATGCATGTGTTTGACGGGAAGGTGTGAAGGATCACGTTCTCTTAGGGATGCACTGAGATCTGTGGGTAGCTCCTGTTCCAGAGAAGGAGAGTTACTCATGGGAGGGCTTTGTAATTTTTGTTGAGTACTCTGGCCCCTACCCAGCAAAGCAAAGCACTTTTAAGTTCTCGCTTAATATTTCTGATGCTAGTGACTAGTGGAATTTTGATTGCTGAAGCTAGAATCTTCAGCACATCTCAGAATTATGCCCTGTATTCTCAGCGTGATAAGGGTGCAGATATGGTTTGGGGTTTTGTTTGTTTGTCCTTCTGATGGTATCAGACACGAGTACATCCTTGTCTCACCAGTGCCTGCTTTTTGAAGTCTTAATACAAATCTTGAATAGTACTTTTATAGATATATGTGTGTGTGTGTGTATATATATAATTTACTTCACGGGTAATAACCTCAGTTGAAAGATATAAAATTATAAATGAAATTGATCCTTTCAGTCTCTACTTCCTTCATTTAATTTGAGTTGGTATTAATCAAAGAGATGTTTTTCCTTTCAAGTTTAATGGAACTAGTGCATATAAGAATTTACAGACAGTGCACTTGTAGGATCATTATGTCTTTATTCATGTAAGCAAACAAATACTGTGCTGTTTACTGTTAGCTAAGAACATTTTGAAGTATCTTTATTGTCTTCTGCAGTTTAAAATCCCATACTATTTATGCTCAAAATGAATTCCTAGTCATAAGTATGGGGTAAGTCATAAGATATACCAGCTTTTGTGAGTTGTTAGGTAGTTCAGGGAACATGAGTTTGCCATAAGGATGTTTTTGGTGATTTTCACTTGTTGCCTCTCTTTTCATTAGCAATGAATAAAAACATATTTCATTCTTCTGGCTTCTTTTTTACTTCTTATTTCATGCAGACTTAAATCGAGGAAAACTTGAGTCAGGAAAGGGAAGAGTGAGAAAAAAATCCTGAAAAATCTGAAATTTATTTTGTCTCAATCACTGGACATCAAGCTGGTATTCTTTCCCAGTAAAAACACATTACAACCTTCTAAATGTCCCTACACAGGACAGGACTGTCTGCAAGACCCACCTTAGATTACAACTACGGAAACTTGGCATGTGTGCCTTACACATGGACCCAGTTCTTGAGAGTTCTGAGAAATTCTGACCTTCCACTGCTGTGTAATATGTGAGACTTTGAGGATGCTTTAGAATTCTGCCAGTCTGAACAGTCAGTTGAGGAGCTTGGGATAACTGTAGCATGCATATGGTTTGTGCCTAGTCTCAGGAAATCACATAATATGTAATTCCTGGCTGGCCCTGCCTGTCCTCTAGCACTTGAGAGTTTTTACCTTTATAGAACTGAGTTTCTTAAGGGTGACAGTTCTTTCACTTGCCAAGATTAAAGATTATGTGTATATGGTTTTTCCCTAGTGTTTTGATAGAGTCAAATCAAATAAAGGCATGCTGAAATGTGTGAATTTCAGTCACTGAATTTTCCTACAGACTAAAATTATTTCCTGTAGAAGGTGGATGTTACTAATAATGTAGCCATGATAATCTATGGATGGCGGCAAGATGTGATACATAGGAAGGTATTTAGGCTGGTGAGGGAAGATGTCACCAATACTGTCCTCAAGAAGGTTACAGTGGAATGCATGCAAAGGCTGTATATTTGGTTGTATAAACTACCTAGTGTAATTAACTGAACTCCTGAACAATTGTTTTAAATCTGTATTTAGCTTAAATATTATGGCTTTTATTTAACACCTGAAGTATTGGTTGTGGGCCTGAAAATTTATGTGGTTTTGTTTGGATTGTGTGGATTTTTGTTTGTTTGTTTCTCTCTTGTTTGTATATGAAAGGTATTCATGTAAATAACCTGAAGACTGCTATAACAGAATGCTCCATTAAGTTTTTTCCCCCCTCCATATGTATTTAAAATTGTCAGCTCACTGAAGGAGTAGCCACCAAAACTGATTATGTAATAACTTTGGATCCTGTTTTTCTGGTATGAAAAGTACTTGCTAAGCACAAAGACAGGAAAATTTAGCATGGAATTTTCCAAAAGAGAGTGAGAAAACTAGTTTAAATGTCCTGATGTCACAATAACCAAGGAAGCTGTATCTTTAAAAGTGGCAACAATGCTACTTAAGAAGACAATGCCAGATTTCAGTTTGTGTGTGTATCTCTTTTGGAAAGTAAGTAGTGAGCTGCTCTGACTGAATGAAAAGATTTGAGAGGTTATATGATCCAAATGGCTCTTACACAATTTGGAAATCTGCTATTTTTAGTTGCTAGAGTTTAATACTAATCTGCATTAGGAAATACATGAACAGAAGCAACTAAGCTGTCATAAATAGCTGAGAGTATAGAAATACACAAGAAAGTATCTTTTAGTGGTTAGAATACTCAAATCCAGCAAAATATTTAGCTGATCGTCTCCTCAAAAGGAAATAATTCAGGAAGACAAGATTGATTTACAAGGTGGAGTTGTCTTGTGTAGCAGTCTTTGTAGCACCGGATATTGATGAAACTTTATCTTGGATGTGGTCTTAGCCAGAAATTAAGATGAGATCTCACTCTTGAGGTATTAAAATAAACTCATAAACGGCGGAAGTCAACAGGACCAAACAGAATATTCTGAGTTTGAAAAGAGGTTAAGACTGCATTAAATATTCCAGTAGTAAAAATAGGAGTCTTGCTTAAAAAAAAAAAAAAATAAAATCCCTACTACTAAGCCTTGCTAAACTTCAGAAGTTTCTAGGGATGGCTTTGCATTGTTTAAAACAGTTAAACAGAAAACCATGTAAATTGTACAGTGGAATTCAAACTACACAAATTTTTTGCAAAGATAATTGTTCTGACAAATTTTTTTCTGTTGTTAAAAGCAGTGGTTGAAGAAAACCTGGTTAATATGATTTCTAATTTTCCAAAAAGCTTTGAGTAAATTTAAGCATTCACAAAATGAGAGACAAAAATATTGTCTTGGATCAAAAACTGATTGAGATGGGAAACAATATTAGGATTAAATAATCAGTTAGTATTTTGGTTAAAAGCCAATCTAGGTGCAGAAGGCATTTCAGTGTAGTAGGACCTGGAGCGTCAGTGTCTTCATGTGTTGTATTTAGGTATTAGTTGTACATCAGGCTATATGTAAAATGAACATAATTTGTAATGTCCAAATCGTGGTAGATAAATAACCACAGCAGGCAAACTGACATGGATTAATGCAAAGTAGCGTGTATTCAAGAAGAAAATTTTAATTACTTGTATATCCAGGTTTCAAATTGGATACATCTGCTCAGGAAAAAAACTTTGCAAATCATTTTCAAAGGCCCAGTGAACATTTCTGTTCCTCTCATAACTAAGATTTAAATGATATTAAACACTGGAGTAAGACAAAGAATAGTATGGAGATTATTATAATCTCATTGTGTAGATCAATGATGCAGTCTTCTAAGGAATGCTATATGCTATGTATCCAACTTACACCGCTAAAGTATGTTACAAAATCAAAGGACTGAGAGGAGTCTCATATGAATGATCAAAAGCCTAAAAAAAAAATCTCCCACAAAGTCAAATAAAGGGTGAAAATATTGCTTATGCCAGAGAGAAGAGGAATGAAGACATAACATGAGTGCAATCTATTATGTACATGAGACAATGAATTGTAAATAAAAACCGTAAAAAGTAGAACAAATAGAAGTTTTCCATCTGACTAGTTCTTAAAGAAACAAAGGAATATTAAATGAAATCAAGGTCAGAAATTCAGGACTGAGAAAAGATAGCTCATTTTAGTGTGCATCTCCTTGAAACACAGGGTATTAAGACAAAAAGATTCAGAGATATTGGAATTTGTAGTATTTCTAATTCTTCCATCAATTGAGATATGTTTGCTATGCTTATTGTTCTTGAGAAAATAATATTGGTGCTGGAGGGCTGGCAGGAGCGAGGTGGTGCAATTTAGAGCACTTTTTGTAATTTAGAGAGCTGGCAAAGTTTCGTTAGCCATTTTTATTGTTAACTTTTTGAGGTTTCTTCTCTATGGGAGAGTTTTAAACCTGCTCAAGGTCACATATTTTTCTCATTCTGGTAACACGATCAATTTTCATCTAAGTTTCTTGTCAAAGGACTGCATCAATCTTTCTTACATTGCTTAACACTGTTCTCTGTGGGGACTTGTATGTAGCTGAGAAGTTAGTGACATCTCATGGTAACCATGGAAAATTACAGGTGATTTGTGGTAAGGTTTTGGTGTTTGTAATTTAAGGGACACTGTAAGTGTTCTCTAGGTTAAAATTCTTTTTTAATATGCTTGTACATACCTCTCACATTTAGTTCTTCAATGTTCATTATTTATCTAGTGACTAACTCAAGTATTTTTAAGCCTGAAATACTGATAATTGTCAGTTAGCATCTGAAGTCCAAATATTGTAGTGTGTAGTACCTGTATATCTGTCGCTTACAAAACAATTATATTAAATTATTGTCTCTCCTGGTTTTACTTGTTTTAGGTACAAAGTCAGCTACAGAGTATGCTAATGGTGGTTATGATATTGTGTCACCTGCTCCATCAGTATACTTGGGCACCTTTCAAATTTTGCATCTCCTGGAGGATCTAAAGATGGCACTGGAAATGCTAGAGGATCCTCAAGAGAAAGAAGCATTGCGAAATCAAATTCCGGGGGCTACAGCAGTGTGTATTCGGGAGTGGTTTGAAGAGAATATGGTGAGTAGTTATTTATAGCTTTTCCATTTTGTTTACAAACTGCATTGGTTCAAGTATTTTGATACTTCAATTATTTATATAACTGAAATCTGCATACTTAGGGAACTGCAGGAGATGAGCAATCATAGAAAGCTGAGACTATTACCACTTCATGTGCTGATTACTAAAGCAATGCAGATATAGGGGTATAAGAACTTGGTAAAAGACTTTATTTTGTCCTTGGTGAGAGAAAAGGTAGTAAAAATGAACTACCAAAAAAGTTACCTTTCCTGTGGTCTTGTTTGGTTTGGTTTTGTTGGTCCTTTGCTGGACATTACAAACAAGTTTATGACTAGTTATAAAACTTCTAATTTTTAAACCACCAATTTGGAGTATGATGGCATTATCTGTTGAAGGGAGAAATTCAAATTGAAATATTCTCCTATCCTTTTCCTCACTACATTTCCTTTACCTTAACTATTGGTATTATGAATCTCTAAAGTATCTTGTACATCAGGCAGTGGTGGTAAATGCAGGAAAGCTCTAGCTTCTGAATGTGAGACATCCATATTGGGATAGATAGAGAATAAACATTTAACTATATTGGAAAAGACTTGAGACTTACCAGTTGAGGAGCAGGTCTTCGGACAGACCTTAAAAAAAGAGACCTGTTGGATGTAAAGGAAGAGAAACAGCAGGTGCTGCCAGAACACTCCTCTTCACAGAACCTGTCACTGCAAGTGAACGATGGTTTCCTAATAAGTAAAAGCTATCTATCACTTTCTCAACTTCAGAAAAGTTTTCTAGATTAGTGGATTTTCTTCTGGCTTTGTCAATGCATGTTACTTTTATGTAATTGTAGCCTCTGGTTCAGTGTTTATCATCTGCTTTAGCTGCCTTATGCCTATCATAACTAACGTTGGAGAGGTAGCTGCTTTTGTTTTAACTTGACAACTGGTTTGTTGGCATTCTCCACAGAGTGCAGGTCTGTGACTGGAAAGTCCTGTTTGGAACTGTATGAGAGAAAAGAATGAGAATTTGGTACCATTTTTGAAAGCAAAAGGTGGAGGCAATGCTTAATTTGGATTTACAGTATTAGATTTTTAGTCCATATCCTCAGGCCAGCTCTTACTGAATTCCTGCCTTAGCAGAGATTTCAATGCTTTTTCAAAGCTTTGCAATAGCTAAAAAGATATTTTTCATGCATAAAGGACATAAATTTTCATAGCTGTTCACAGTAAAGTTGACCCTGAAGAGTTTGAATCTGGAGGTCTGGCTTTTGGCCTTTCTGTTGCAGAAGTACTAATTAAGCTAGCTTTTCAGCCCTGCAAGGAAGGTAACACTTGATCTTTTCACTCCTCACATTTATCTACATATGTGTATCTCATCTCTTTCATGGGAAACCAGGGAAAACAGAAGCCACAGTTCCCTCTCACAGTTGCAGTTTATGGATTTCCTAATAGCCTTGTCTAGTGCATCAAGAGTAATATTCATTTGATAAAGCAGTTGGGTAGTCTGGATTCAGAACCAACAGAACAGGGAAACTGGTGGCACAGAGTGCATTCTCTAGTGCAGTATGAGATCACTGTTCTTGAAATATTTTGCACTGTTCTGTATTGACGAATTCTGCACATCTAAAGATGTGCACAGGGAGTGCATAGTTTCTGTGACTGTTATTTGAAAATGGATAATAATCTGTGTATTTGTAGACTTTTTTATATGTTTAAAAATGCAAATAATTTGTAAGCATACACACAACTTCCATGGGTTTAAAATTTGGAAGAGCTTTCTCCACTGACAAGCAGTAGTTTCACTTGGAAATTGAGAAGAAATCTGATAAAATTCATCTCAGTTCAGTGAAATGGTTTAAACACATGAGGATTGAAGCACTTTACTGATTTATTAAGGACATTGATTAACTAGGAATCAGTCATAGTTTAGGCCCAGCCAGCAACTAAGCACCACACAGCTGCTTGCTTACTCCTCTGCCCCCTGGCAGGATGAAGGGGAGTATTGGAAGAAAAAGGCAAAACTTGTAGGTTGGGATAAGGACAGTTTAACAGGACAACACAAGGAGAGAAGCAATAATAACAATAATACTAATAAAAGAATGTATGAAGCAAGTGATGCACAATGCAATTGCTTACTACCTGGAACCTGATGCCCAGCCCACTCCCGAGACACAATCCTTCCTTCCCCTGGCCAGCTCCCCCAGTTACATACTGAGCATGACGTATGGTATCAGATATCCCCTTGGCTAGTTCCAGGCAACTGTCCTGGCTGCGTCCTCTTCCAGCTTCTTGGGAAAATTAACTCTCTCCCAGCCAAACCCACGACAGCAATACAACTTACTAAATGCTTAAGAAATGTTAAGGGATACCTACAAATTTCCAAATGGAGTTCTATAGCCAGTTCCAAAAAGTTAACATCACACGGTCACGCACACATATGCGTTCACAGTTCCCCTCTCATGGCTCGTGTTGGTTGCGTGAACCGCTTCTTATTTGGATGTGGGTTCCCCTGTTTACACACACCCCCTAAGGGACATGTGGGTGCTTTAGCTTCCGTGTTTACCCATGGAGCTCCCCAAGGTCTGCTAACCCATGTGCTGGTGAGCACGCACCCTGCAAGTTCACACAGGCACCCCTGAGGCGTGGGTCCCCAGTTCTCGCAACTGGTACCTGTCAGGTAGACATCCTTACACAGAAAATACCAGATGTTCTCAAGTGGAATTTGCTACAAAGTGTCTCTTCTAAGCATTCTCTCTAAAGTGTAGGCTAATAATTGAGTCCAGAGATTTGGAATGTATTTTAATTTTTGTATTCAACTGAAATATTATGTAAAACAATGTTTTATATCAGTAGCAATAGTTGAATTGTAACAAACTTGGGAGAGGATGGTAAACCGATGCTTTTGCGCTTTTTTTTAAGAACTATTATAGATTGAATTGGAGGGGATTTTCTTTTGTGGATGATTAATTCCACATCTGTTTATTTTTGGTGTCCATGAACCTTTCTTTGAAGCTGGAGGCTGCTCTAGCATGTGCTGAATAAGCCACTAGTTTTAGAGAATACAGCAACTGCTTTGTTTCTAACGTTATACAAGTGAGGTCGAAAATATTCCTAGCGTATCCTGATTAGGAATACTTTAGAAAGTAAAGATAAAAAAAAGCAATCTGATGTTTATTTTAAAAGCAGATAAGCATGCTCCTTTCAAAGAAAAGACTAAGTGTTATTTTGTGATTCTTCATTTAAATGCATGCTTGAAAATTGTATTAAAAATCATTGCAGCTGCCATCCTTAATCAAGAATGCAAACAATATGCCTTATGGAAATAATTTGAATTTGTGTTTTGCATCTGCCCTATATTGGCTTTTATGGAAAAACACAGAAAATGGAAGTCAGAAAGATAGCTCAAGACTAGTTCCTGCTAGATAGTATCAAACAGCAGCATTTAACAGCTAATATTTTGGTTTCAGCAGAAGTATGGAATAGAAGTCCCAGTTATTTTCTTGTGTGCTCCTTCTGTATTAGCAAACATTGTAACCTAATGCAGCCCTGAAATCTCTCCGAGGCAGAGTATGTTTATCCCCACTAGTTCCACACAGCAGTGCCACAGCAGTTCCACACCATTAGTGCCACACAGCAGTATTTGGGATTGCAAGTTAGAGGACAGAAAGTGACTCAACCTTCTTTGTATTGTTTGTACTGGAGTTTCATCTAGAAACTAGAGCTCAATTGTACTGGAATGGGAAAAATAACTTCTGCAGAAAATTGCCCCTTGGCCTTATAATTCCAGTAGCTTTGCAGCTTTGGTAGTTGCCACTTGGTGTGCTGGACTGCACCTGGTGTTTAAATAAATAAGACTGGGGTCAGATTTGAGGCACATTGGCTTATTACTGATCAGTCAGGAAGCTGCTGTGATGATTATAGAGTCTTACCTTCCTTCAGTTCCATAATACCAAACTATGGAATTTATCGGACATGAAATATCACCAAGTTGTGTTTTGTGGTTTGTTTTGTTTTGGTTTGTTCTTTGTTTTTTGTTTTGGTTTGTTTTTTTAACAGTTGTGTTATCTCCTTTGGTCTATCTGCTATAGGTGTGCATACCGAAGATGGGGGAAAATTTAGATATGCCTAGAGTGTGAAAACTTTAGACATCATGTTTCATACCCGATACTACCTTGTTTATTTCCTCTTTTGAAAGCATCTGCTTTATTCCTTTTTTATGGAACCCTTGGTGATGGTTTGGTGTTTCAGTGATTTGATGGAGCTGGATTTTGTGCTTATCCTCTAAAATCCTCTAAGGAAGAGGCACACCACTTGTAGAAGTAAAGGTGCGCTTTTTGAAAAGGCTTCTTTTTGCGTTTCTATGGTCTGGGATCTGTGAAAGTATCAAGTTCTTGAGTTTACAGTATAAGTGGGCACAATATCTGTGCTGACACTGCTTTAAGATAGATGAAATAGGTTGGACAAAGTTAGTGCTGAATTTGGAAAGATTATTACTATGTATCGCAGAATGAGGATTTAATAGTTGCTGTAACTGCACAAATCTGACAAAGCTAAGATGGAATAAAGCATCATTAATTATAGACTTCTAACTACTTAATAATGGTTTTAAAAAATTTTGCCTCAAAGTGAATGTCTGGAGTGTTTTTTATGCTTTACGATTGTAAATTCTTTGGCCTTAAAAACAACAAAAAAGCATGGAGATTATCATGGAGAGTTCATAGAAAACAATTTTGTGTATAGTTTCAATGCTTCTTGTTAAATATTTTAGTATTGTTAGTGACCACATGACGTATCACAAAGCAGGTAGTAATTTCAGCATTAAAAATTAACTGCTGCAGTAACAACTGACTGTGTTTGACTCCGTGAGCTGTGAGAGAATGTATTTAGTTACGGTTTCATTTCATAATTCTAAATGAACTTTTACACTGTTAATTATTTTTTTTTTTATTCTGTATGTCATGTTTTTTGAGTAAAGAGGAACCCTAGTGTTCTTACACTGGTCCTAAAACA